TGAGTCATTTATTTTAATTTTCATCATTATTAGTTATTAGTTTATTATTATGTTTAATACACTGATTTGTATCTATTTTTTCTTTATATGCTGAAGTGATTTTTCTTTCTTGATGATAATATTTGTATCTGGACTTACTGCTTCACACAAATCAATCTATCGTTCAAGAGATGGCGGTTTGAGGTGAAGAAAAAAATATTTTGTTCAAATAACAAAAGATTAGGAGCGATTCTGGCATCTTGACGAGCGTGTGGATGGAGTAGATTTTTTTACACTTTGCGATTACTGGGACACGACTGAAATTCAAGTATTATTGAAGTACAAATTTTTAACTTATTGTTTAAATTTCTATATTGTTTTTATTTGATATTGTTTTGCAGGCTCAAGCTGAAAATAGCAAGGAGGAACCGCAACGCGCCCTGCAGTTACAAGCATCACGGGGGTTCCAGATCCTTCAGCCAGCATTATCATCATTTGAAGCTTAAGATATATAATATATTAGCTTTTAAGTTGTCATTTGAGTATAATTTATGCATTATGGGTTAATGATATATTTGAATAAAATAGGGAAGGGGAGATCTAGGACATTTTGCAGATCGTATTTCGACTTCCTAGAGCCCGAATTATGTCGATGAAGAGAAGAAAGTGAAGAACCAGGATTTGGCTGTAAGTAGCAGTTCATTTGTATATTCAATTTTATAACAATATATCATTAATAAGTCAACTTGCCCGGGTTGTTTTGATTTGTCACAGGAGAAATTACATGCCAAGTTACAGGAGCAGTCTCAGTCTCAGGTCGGTTCTAGCACTCTGGCCCGGCAAAGTAGAGAGGAGGACTACATCATCGAGATGGTCATTTGACCGAGTAGGAAGAACAGATACTGGTAGAGAGGATCCAAGCAGAGGCCGCACGAGTCTAGCAGCACCACCAACAACACCAGGAAGCAGTTCATATCAAAACTCGATGGAGTAGCGGTTGAAAGCGATTGAAGATTGGCAATCACAGTAAACAATATATCAGCGGATTACGAAGGAAGAACGGAGGTACCGGGAGCAGAGAGAATTAGAGTTCACACAGTTCATGTCGACTCAGTCTCAGGAGGCTCAGGAGGCATATAGGAGATGATTTATGGCGGATCAAGTAATATATATACTTTACTTTTTTAAAGTAAATGAATTAAATATATAATTCTTACTTAGTTATGAATATACCATGTGACTAAATGATATCACACACACTAATACACACTGTTACATACAAACCCTAACTCTAACCCTAACACAAAGCCCAAAATATATACGTATAATGTTTTTATGTGATGGTGGTATTGATGGTGCGTGCGTGCATAATGATGGTGGTATTGGTTGGTGAATTTGTTAGTTGGTTGTAGTTGTGTTATTGTGGTGCGTGCGTGCGTAGGGTTGGTTGTGATCGGTTGGTGGGTGGTTTGGTCGTGGTGGGGGAGGGGAAGGAGTGAGGATTTGGTGATGGTGGTGGTGATGGAGGGGGTGGGGGTTGAGTGTGGTTACGCGTGAGTGCGTATACGCGTGCATGCATGTTCATAAGAATATGTGCGTGCGTATAATACATAAGAATATGCCATGATACTCTCTTCGAAACATATAATACATACGAATATGTCATGATACTCTCTCTTATTGCTATACTTACATGTCACGCCATGTTGTTAACGTTTGATTTATATTTGCAGGCTAGGACTTCTAGACAAGGTGGAGCTGGTGATGAGGATGATGATGATGATCAGGAGGACTGGTTTGTTTTTTTACCTTTGAAAACAATGAGTGTGTGTTGTATAAACAATATTTATCATGGTGTGTGTTGTAAACAATTTTAATTATATTGGGATATTTTTATTAAAATATATGTGTTATATATACATGTGAATGAATATTATACTGCTCATTGAACATGGTTTTAATTTTATTATATTATTGTACATGTTTTTTAAATTTGGAAAATATTTTTTTAAAAAATATTAGAAATATTTACTCACGGATTAGTCGTCGCTATATCAGCTTTTAGCAACGGAAAACATGCACTGGAACATGACATTAGCGACAAAAAATCTATGGCTACTGATTTTCTTTTTTTTTAAAAAATTATTATAGCGACGGATTTTCCGTCGCTATTAATAGCGATGGAAAATCAGTCGCTAATAATTTTTTTCTTTTTTAAAAAAACAGAACGACAGATTTTTCGTCGCTAATTCTCTGTCGCTGACTTTTAGCGACGAAAAGTAATTTTAGCTACCCTCAATGTATGGACGGTATTTTAGCGACTGAATTTTATTTTTTCCGTCGCTAAAAGTTTTAGCAATAGATTTTTGACTTTTAGCGACGGATTTGTCCGTAGCTAAAAGTCCTGTTTCTAGTAGTGAAGGGGTATGTGTGATTAATTTATGTTATTTTGCGGATAGTTTATTCGTTTGTGGATATTGGTCGGCTCGTACCCAACTAATTTGAGCAATATGGAATTTTGATTGTTGATTGGGATTTTGGATTGTTGATTTGTAAGCTAGATTTACACATTTGATTGGATTTACAGGTCTATGCAATAGGAAATTTGGAAAGTGCATGCATTAATCATGATATCATCCAAGACGGATTTATAACATCCCAGACGAAATTTTTCGTCTAGGATGCTACATTGTCTAGGATACTGTATAGCATCCCAAACAGAAAATTCCATCTGGGATGCATTCCAGACGAGAATTCTTCTGGCTGGGTTGCATCCCAGATGAAAATCCGTCTGGGATACATTCCAGATAGGAATATTTTCGTCTGGGATACATCCCAGACGGGAATATTTTCGTCTGGGATGCATCCCACACGAAAATATTTCTGTTTGGGATGCATCCCAGACGGAAATATTCTCGTCTGGGATGTATCCCAAACGAAATTTTTTTCATCTAGGAAAATCCGTCTAGGATACATCCTAGATGGATTTTCCATCTAGGATACCATATTCTAGACAGAAACTAATTAGACGAGTATTCCAGGCGAAATTTTGTATGGAATAGTTTTTCTAGACAGAAATAGCATTATTCTAGACAAAATTTTCCTTTTGGAATGCCTCCTTTTGTACTAGTAGATTTCTAGTATCTTTCACATTTTTTTATTAATTTAAAATACAAAAATAGTAATTTTTTCAAGATTTGTATCCTCTCCGCTACAAAAAGTAATGGCGGGACCACTATATTATCACAATAATACGAATCCTAATTTGGTTCCAAATCTGATGACAAAGTGCGTACGAAACCTATATTAGATCATTGACAAAACGATCTAGTAGCCCAGAAAATCTAAGACCGAATCCTAGAAATCCGATAAATTTTAATAACTTTAAGATCAATGTCTTCTATAATAATTTTTACCAAAACAAAAGATAAAAACCTTCAGCTTAAACCCTCAATATATATAGCCTCGAGAGAATTCCTAATTCAATAAAAATTTTCTAATCAAACTTTTCTAATAAAAGCAATTCTGGTGAACTCCTACTTTGACTCAAACCCTCTCTCTTATGCAAAATCTAGTAGTCATGAATCACCCTATCTCTAATACTCCTGCACAATGTAGGCTTAAGAATCATATACATAAGAATAATATACATAGCCATTTATTATCTAGTGAATAATTACAATTTTTAGTGCAAATTACAAATGAATGTAATACATGAAGGTTATATGATGAGTGTTAGATTTAAAATAAATCACAATCATTAACTAAATAATAAACAATTGTGATTGAAAGCAGCGTTCCTTCAATATTTTTTTTATAGCGGAGAGGATCCAAATCTACACATATCAGAGTTCTAGTATTATCAAAGGAGCTAGCTAACAGCCGGCTTTTCACAAATTCATTATAACTATTTTATATTACTATTTTATATATGTTCACCATCATGGAATTGCTTATTTATATAAGTGGACATCTCTATCATGAACAATTATTTGATTTACATTAAGAAATTATGAGATGAGGTTAGTATTCACGTTATCAGCTTGGTTTAGTCAATTAGAGTACGTATCATATTGATCATACAAATAATTTGGTCATGTATGTACATGCTGAATATCAACTTAATATTGCTTTTTTAAGGTTGATTCTATTATTTTTAATAAGTAGTCAATAATAGTATTTAACAAAACTTATTTTATATGCTTAGTGAATCTTTAGCTGCTTTTAAGAGGGCGTTTTTAAAAGTAATATGAGGATGATTTTAAAAGCCATCTCTGGTTTTTTTTCATTTATTTATATACACTATATACACCCTTTACCTTTTGACATCAATATCTTATCTACTCTATAAGTATATTATTTATTTTGATAGCTAAACTTATGTTTACCAAATGCCTTACAACTTTCGAAAGCAACTTATGACGCATGATTACCAAACAACTGTTTTCAGCATTTTATATAAGTTTCTTTTATAATTTGTTTATAGAAGCAACCTATTATAAGATTTAGCAGTAAGAAATTAGCTCGTAGTTCCTTCGGATAGCTACTACGCCACTCTGGTTAGGTCTTATATATAGTGCTAAACAAAAATTTTCAAAAATCAAATTTACAAGCTTATGATGTTTTTGAGGGATAAAGGCAAGGTTTTCTTATATCATAAAGAGGACTGATTTTTATTATGCTTCTAACTTAGCATTAATAACCATTGGTCCTATCCTTACATTCGGATTGAGATGTGAAAGCCATGACCGTTTTCGCCGTGGCATCTGCTGGGCACATGCGATCCTACACGATTGGCATCTTCTTCTAACCACATTCATGTCATTCACCTGTCTCTGACAATACAATTTTTCCCAAAATAAATAAACAAGATTTAAAAAAAAAAACACTCATTGCTCACGCCCAAACAAACAGGTGAAACACATGCGTCTTCGGCCAGCAACCATTAAAAAATATTTTAAAATTGCAACCCACACCCCGTTCGATCTTATCATCACTATAAATAAATGCAAAAACCCATCCAATATCTTCCCACCAAGAAATCAAAGGAACATGGGCCTGGTTCCTTCACAAAAGCCCCACGCGCTCCTAATCCCATACCCAGCCCAAGGCCATGTAACTCCCATGCTTAAGCTAGCCAAGCTCCTCCACTCCAAAGGCTTCTTCATAACCTTCGTCAACACCGAGCACAACCACCGGCGACTCGTCCGTAGTAGAGGCCTGGACTCTGTTAAAGGCCTCGATGACTTCCGATTCGAGTCAATCCCCGACGGACTGCCGGACTCCGATGAGGATGCGACACAAGATATACCAGCTTTATGCGAGTCTATAACAAAGAACTGCCTTGATCCGTTCCGTGAACTGTTGAAGAGATTGAACTCGAGTGAGGGCTGGCCTTTGGTTAGTTGTATTGTTTCGGATGCTGTGATGAGCTTTACGCTTGATGCAGCTGAGGAGTTCGGGATCCTTGAGGTCATGTTTTGGTCTCCTAGTGCTTGTGGAATTATGGGGTATTTGCACTACCAGCAACTCATGGAGAGGGGATTATTTCCTCTGAAAGGTATAATCCAGATTTATTCTTACTTTTTCAAAACTTTTCCGTTAAATATCTATATATTTGATTTAGTTGTGGAGCTGGGACCTGGTGGTAAAATGATATAAATTAATGAACGGATAGGATCACATTGAGAGAAACATCAATCAGGAAAATTACAGGCGGATTTTGTTTCTGTTCGGTCGACCGTAGCAACACGTGCGGTCGACCGCAAACGTGCACAAGACAGGGATAAGTTTCTCATGATTAGAAACCCTAGAAAATCGTGTTTTGATATATATATACCAAAACACAATCCCAAAGCAAACATGAAATAAAGCCCAAGGCCCAGTATGAATCACGGTTGACCGCGACCAAGTCCCACGGTCAACCGTCACGAACGACTAAAACCAAAATCAATTACAGGGTCTGGCGGGCAACCACGGCAGTCGACCGTAACCAATCGACAGAAACTAAAATTCACTACAGGGTCTGGCGGTTGACCGCCCCAGTCGACCGGTAATGGTCAGAAACTCATCCCTGACTTGTGCACGTTTCTGGTCGACCGCACATGTTTCTGCGGTCGACCGAACAGAATCAAAATCTGTCATCCTGTAATTTTCCTGATTGATGTTTCTCTTCAATTTTCAACCTCGGTGAAGTTTTTCTAAAACTGAGCCGACACCAGACAAATAGCACCATTTCGTCGTCTCTCCAAACTCGGTTGCACAAATGTGGTTACCTACGTATTCCCTCTCCCAATGGATCAAGCCACCCGTAGTTCATCCAAATGGCCGTCAACGACCTTAACAATAACGAATGTGCAACAAGTTTTGACAATGATCGAACTTGTTGCTCGGAACCACCTTAGTGAGTATATCCGTCGGATTATCCTTTGTGTAGACCTTCACAATTTTCACATCGCCATCTTCAAGAACATTTCAAACGAAGTGATAACACACGTCGATATGCTTCGTTCTCGCATGAAAAACCTGATTCTTCGCCAAATAGATAGCACTCATGCTATCACAGTAAAGAGTGATGGACCACTACGATATATCAAGTCCCACAAAAGTTCCTGAAGCCAAATAGCTTTCTTGACAGCCTCCGTAATTATCATATACTTTGTCTCTGTTGTCGACAAAGCCACCGTAGACTATAAGGTGCATCTCCAACACACCGGTGCACGGGCAAAGTAAACACATATCCTGTTGTAGACTAGTGCTTATCCAAATCATCAGCATAATCCGAATCAATATAGCCAATGCACAACTGCCACACCTCTAGGGTCCCGCTCAAAAACTAAACCAACATTGAGAGTACCTCGAATGTACCTCAAAATCCATCTCACGACGTTCCAATGACCCACTCCTAGATCATGCATGTATCTCAAAACCATACTCCTTGCCTGTGACAAAATCCGGCCTCGTACATACCATTGTGTACATCAAGCTTTTAACTGCACTTGCATATGGAGTCTTCGACATCAACTCTCGATCTTTAACTGTCATTAGTAAAAGGTCAGCTGAAAACTTCAAATGTGCTACCAAAGGTACACTAACTGACTTTGTCTCCATACTCACGTTAAACCGCTGTAGTACTTTCTTCAAATAAGCCACATGTATTAAACAAATTCTTCCTTTCTCTTTGTCTCTATCAATTTTCATCCCCAAAATATCTTTGTTTCACCCAATTCCTTCATCTCAAACTCTTTTGAAAGCTGTGCCTTCAACTCATCTATAGAGGATCTGGAAATAGAAGCAACTAACATGTCATCAATATAAAGCAACAAATAAATGTACGTACCTCCTTTTAACTTGCTATAATACAAACAAGGATCAAACTGGCTCTGCGTGTACGAATGACCAATCATGAAACCATCAAATCACCTATACCACTATTGAGGAGATTGTTTTAAACCGTATAACGATTTCTTCAACCTACAAACCAATTTATCCTTTCCTATAGTTCAGAATCCTAATGACTGAGTCATATTTTTTTATTAAGATCGCCATAAAGAAATATCGTCTTCACATCAAACTTATCTAACTCTAAACCATACTGTGCCACCAAAGCTAGCAAAATCCGAATCGAAGAGTTTTTCACCAACGGAGAGAAAACCTCGTTATAATTAATATCTTCCTCCTGTGCATAGCCCTTCGCAACCAACCTAGCCTTGGACCTCACTGAAGTTCCTTTAATGCTCTTCTTCTTCGTGTATACCCACTTGCAACCAATTGTCTTATGCCCCTTTTGAAGCTCAACAAGATCCCATGTACTGTTCTTATGAAGAGACTCCATCTTCTCCTGCATAGCTACCTACCACGAATCAGCCTCCGAATTCTGCTCGACCTCTCTGAATATAGTAGGTACCAACTCATCAATACACTTCACTGAAAGTGCATACGCAACCACTGTGTCGGTATATCATGTTGGCATCTGTATGTCTTTCCTCTGTCTTTGAACCGTAATAGAATCCTGAAGCTAAGTCGTCAGTTACTGATCCTACACATCTGTACTTGTATCCTCCTCTTCATCATCTTGCTAGTCTGGCGTCACCTCAGTCGGCAATCTAATGGATACTGTACCATCTGGATAATGTGAAGCTGCATCGATCCTCACCACCAGCGATATCTCCTCCGTCGGGTCACTCTCCACCTAATAAGAGCTGGGAAGGTTCAAGATAGAAGTCTCATCGAATGTGATGTCTCTACTCAGTACGATCTTCTTAGCCACTGGATCCCATAACTTGTATCACTTGACACCACGCTTGAATCCTACAAATATGACTTTCCTAACTCGAGGTTCTAATTTATCTGTTCTAACATGATAAAATACAGGTCACCCAAATACCTTGAGCTGGTCATAGTTATATGCTGGCTCTCCCGACCACATCTCTATAGGGGTCTTCCCCTTAATTGTAGATGAAGGCACCCTGTTAATGAGGTGGTTCGCGTATGATAGTGTCTCAGCCGAAAAGATCTTCTCCAAACCACTCTGCGACAATAAGCATCAGACCTTCGCTAGTAATGACCGATTCAACCTCTCTACCACCCCATTTTACTGTGATCTATGACTAATTATTAAGTATCTCTATATGCCCTCGTCTCGACATAGCTGTTGAAAGGGGTCAGAAGTGTACTCACCACTGTATTCGGATCGTAACGTCTTGATCTTTCTTCCAGTCTGCAGTTCTAATCTCTTCTTGCACTCCATAAATAAATTTAGGACTTCACTCTTCTTCGTCATGGTATACACCTAACAACGCTTATAATAGTCATCAACGAACGTGACAAACCAATATTGACCACCAAGTGATGTCGTCTTGGTAGGACCCCAAACATCTAAGTGCACGTAGTCCAAGATGCCGCTCGTCCTATGGATGGTTGTCCCGAACTTTACCTTTGTCTTCTTGCTAAAAACATAGTGCTCATAGAACTCAATCTTCTCACTCTTTGCTTCCTTCAATAACCCTTGCTTGTACAAATCCTGCAATGACTTTTCTCCTATGTGTCCTAACCTGTAGTACCAAAGTCTACTCATGTCCACCTCTGAAATAGCCGAAGCTACCTGGTTAATCTTGGTGCTCCTCTTCAGATAATATAAGTTTTAACTGCGGACTCCCTTCATCACCACCAATGAACCTTTAATAACCTTCACTACAGCGTTCTCAAAGGTCACCTTAAATCCATTCGCCTCCAAAGCTCTAACAGAAATAAGATTCTTCTTTAGCTAAGGAACAAATCTCACATCTTTCAATTCACGGACTACTCTATCGTTTATCCGAATCCTCACGGTACCTATTCCATAAATGTCATAGGATTGATCATTTCCCATTACAACATCACCCCCAATGAGTCTCTCAAACGATGCAAACCAATCTCGTCTGGGAGTCACATGATAAGTAGCACCATAATCAAGCATTCAATCTAATGTAACAACATGGTTCACCTCCGGAGTAATCAATAGAAAAAAGCTCGAATCACCAGAATCATCGTCTTTTGTAATATTCACCACATTGGCCTTCGGGCCCTTCTTCTTTCTATTCTCCTTCTCCTTGAGCTTCGGGCAATCTCTCTTCCAATATCCCTGTTCCTTGCAAAACGCATGCTGGTTCTTAGCTAACTGGTGATAGCCTCTAGACTTTGACCTGCTCCTATTACCACCTTTCGGATATGGGTTTTTACCTCTCGTCAACAATGTCTCTCCTGAAGTACTAGCATGGGAAGTCTCCTTATCCTTCCTCCTCAAATCATAGTTTATCAAAGCACTAGTAACTTCACTATATGTGATAGAAGATCTCTCGTTCAATAAAGTAAGTATGAAGGTATCATACTCCTCATTCGGTAAGGAGCCCAAAAAAATAATAGCCTTGTACTCATCCGTAATCTTTTCATCCACGTTGACCAAGTCCGATAACAAGTGTAGTTGTTCACATGAACTGCTAGTGTGGTGCCCCTGGACATCTGAAATCTAAACAATCTTCGCAGCAAGTGCAAACGGTTCTTAACATCTTTGTAAGGTACTTATTATTGAGAATCTCCCACAATCTTTATTGCAAACGGCACCCCAATCACATCATACTTTAGCTCCTATTCCAAACAGGACCTGATCACCCCACAAGCATTCCTATTCATCTTTTCCCATACCACCTCTTTATATTTTGGTGGCCTCTCATGGACTATGATGGTCTCCTCTAAATTCTGAGCATTGAGCGCATCCTATACGTCACTTATCCATAAACCAAAATTAATCTTGATGTCATATTTAACTAAACTAATCTTGGTGTTCTAAAAATCAACTTGAACTGTACCCACTATCTTGCTGTTTTCACCAACTTCTTCACCCATACTCACAGACTCTAATTGCAAAGAAAGATCCAAACTTTGATAGAATTAAGAAGTTATCCAACTAAACCCTAGATTAGATTCCAAATAGATCTCCTAACCATACGAGAAAAGCAAAATCTTCAACGGCAACCCCAAACACTATCTCCACCGAAGCCTAGAACTCCAAGAACCAAGCTT